ACGACACATCCCTTCGATTCGAGCGTTAGAATACATTTTGAGCGTCCTCCCAGTACGAACATGAGCCATCTCGTACTAAGGTAAGGATAAATGCAAGTACGTTGTGCACTATAGTGTTATTGTGACCTAGCATTGACTCCATCCGTGGTTGTGCTGCATATGGATAAAAGTGCGTCCATACTACCTTTATACAAACGGCCAAGAGTGTGCTGAAACATGGACACAGCCAGCCATGTGGCTGGTTTCGAAGATTTCTTCCCGGTAACCGGTTCCTGATTCGAGTTTTCCAGGAAGCAGGAACCAGTTTAGTATCAGGCCGGAGATTGAGCAGTAACCGACAGAACTATACCGATGAAGTCATCGCTAGCCTCTACTCATCTTAACACCTAGCCGAGAGATCTCACGAGACTCGAGGTCCGGCCGGGGATATATACGGGGATCTGGCAAAAGCCAAGACACAGTCTGGGATTATGTCAAGGGATCTAGCAGGAACCAGGATTTAGTCTGGAATAGGTCAAGAGGTCCAACGGGAATCAGGATCGCATAGGACATTACGTGGATGATCCTGAAAGAGCTGACTTAATTAGTCACCGGATACTGTTTAGAATAGACAGGACACCGAACCACAATACTATCTTCGAACCAATAACACGATAGCACAATATCGCGCATCGAAGCATGCGACATTAGTACAGACATCTGCACTTTTGAGCACCCGTGTAGTGCAAACCGGAATCATTAGCTAACCTGTCATCACAGCACCTTGGACAGCCTTGGGACCAAGCATAACGTGTCGCGATGTCAATGACAGTACCTAGGGTCACAAGGACTGAGGGACAAACTGACATTAGCTATCCTGTCATCACAGCACCTTGGACAGCCTTGGGACCAAGCATAACGTGTCGCGATGCCAACGACAGTTCCTAGAGTCGCTAAGACTGAGGGGCAAACTGACAGACGTACACGGAGAGGGGAGGGGGGGTGCACGCGATGACGGATCAAACCCGCTGGTCTGCCGCCCCCCCCCCCCCCTCTATTCGGATTTTGGAAAGACCCCGGGTTCGGCGGGTCTTATGTAAAGGTTGAGGGGGGCACGCGTGTCGCCCCTTGGCGACACCTGCTGCTAGAGCCCAGGCACGGGCCTGCATCTAAAATTCGGAGTACGACTCCGAGTCCAAGCCACAATGAGCGCGAGTCCTAGTCCCGAGTTCGCCCCTCACAGGTTACATGGGCTCAAGCTCGTGTCCAGAGGTCCTGGGTCCGGGTTCATTACTTTTCAGCGCACATAGGATTTACACGAAGTCCAAGCCCCGAGGCCTGGGATCCGACTCCATCATTCCCTACGGGGAATCGCAGGAGATACATTTTCCGTAATAACAATCGTCAGCGGTAAAAACCATAAATGCCGTACTCTAACATCTAACTTAACTCACCTCTTATCTGACGTCGTGCGGAGACGACGTTGGAGTCGTGGGAAGGGGAGGCAAGTGACAAGATATGTGTGGCAGCAGGCGGGAACGTTATCGATATCCAAATGACGGATGCTTGTGGCATTCCACTCCAAATATAGACATAATTTTAGGTAAGCCAATCTAGGTTATGGATCTTTTCGAGTTTAGCGAAACTCGCTGAAAGTGAATCACACCATGCCAAATACAATAACCACGCGTCAAGTTGTGATACCAGAAGCCCTCTGCGGTCAGATTTGGACCTAGACTTGATTTCACACTCTTTCACTGACTACAGTTTCAAGTCTCCATAGCAGTGCAGAAAGTAACATAACTTGGAAGCCCGGCACAGGTAGAATCCATGTCATGTCCCAGAACTTGGAAATACTAGCATCAACCGCCATTCATTTCGTATATCTGTTGAAAGTGCGAGGATATAGCGACATTTATGTGTCCTGACCTTTGACCCCATTAAGTCAAATAGTCTTAACGGCTTTTATTCTGCATAAGATTATGCGGACATGGCAGAATTTTACAATTTCAGCACCACTTGGTATGTATTTCACGTCAAATAGTGCGCCAGATTTTGTGGTGTTGTGTTGATGTGGCAGTCCATGGGAGTCAAACGCTTAGATTTTATTTGTCGATAGCAAACTATTCCCACGACTGTGCATTTTTGTCAATATTATGCCGTACACTCAGCCTCAAACTCAAAGACTGAATGATACGCTTGACTTCGGTCTCGAACTGGAATTAAATTCATTAGATACGTTGCAAAATCCACTACACTCGGTAAACATACCCTCCTTAGTGAGTTTTGAAATAAACTAGTAAATCTTAAGCAGTAGTAGAGAACATAATTTCAAAACTGAGTCGCAATATCAAAGGTGAACTGAGGAGGGTGTGTCCGCCCAAAACATAGTAAACGTTGCGGCTAGTTGCTAGTACACTACATCATGTCAAGCCTCGTTGGACATGACATGATGTAGTGTAAATTCCCATTTAAAACCCATGGATGTCGTCCACTAGACATGAACGGATTGGGTCCGAGGTCCCTTCGCAACATCTTCAGGGAACATCGATTCCACGTCTTCTAACTTACAAGCGAAAAAATGACTGTCGTAAACAGCCAGACTGTACCGTGAAATAGTTACGTAGGCTATTTTCGAAAAGAAAAGTTGTGGGCATCCTGTAGGTTGTGTGACGCATGGTCGCGCTGCTCAACACGGTCGCGGTCATGCAAAGGCATTCACTGTTTTAAAAGCACTTAAGATTTGACAAATATTGTGACGCGGTGAGTAATCAATTCGCCGCAAGGGGTGAGGTGACGCGCCATCTCGTGTTAGCATTACACTCCAATGAGCTGCCCCGTCTGGTCATGGTCAGTTGGAACTAGGAGACCACTCCACCCAGGCATCGGAAGAAATATCGTTTAGTCCAAAGACAGCCCGGAAAACTCAGTAATGGGTTCTGAATTGGCACCTTATTTGGCACTCATAGCGGTGGCAGCCATCTGTCTGCTACGGCAACTACGTTAATTCATTTCCCCATTATCTTTTCAATCCATCATCATTCCTTTTCCATTCATTTGTCATTTATGGCTTGTTTTTGTCACCCATTCTTGTTATCAGAGAGGCGTTCCACCACAGCTGGATTGTCGGAGTTGGCATCTCGACTACAGTAGATAACAGTCGGTGTGCTCTACCTTGGCGGCCGGCACAGGTCACCGGGGTCACGCGGTGTTCGGTCGAATTTGCCTAGTGTCGAGGACATGCCATTTCGAACCCAGGCCGTGTGAACCACACTTAAGTAAGGAGCAGGCTCATGTCGTGTGTGTTCATATAACATGTGTATATAAAACGGATGTCTGTCCACCAATGCGACTTATCGCTTTTCCCAGCTTCCGAGCTGTTAACGCTTAAAAAAGGTGTACTGCACTCAAAACTTGGCCACATCCTAACCTATTAGCGCATATCATATGTCTCTGAACGGCGTTTTCGTTACAGACTATTGATTTGATAACATTGTTGGGGTAAGACGATTACCGGTAGATATTCAGATTATCAGTAGATATTATTATTCAGCGGTAGATAGCCACATGCATGAAAAAGGTAAATTTAGAATCCACGAAATTGCAAAGGTTTTAACAACATTGGTTCAAACTTCCTCTTAATAAAGTTCCTACAATGGCAAGTATTAAATATGCGTGCAAATACGACGGTTTTGATTGCGAAGCATCGAATGTATTCAAAATTTAGTGCGTTCGGCGGCAAGTTCATTCACCCATCCCTGTGACAAATGCGGCACGTGTCGGACGCGACTAGACCCGGCTGCGGTTGGCTTAATCTGACAGGCCGCTCAAACGACGTCTGCGAAAAGCTTTAAGACATTGTAGAACACGAGCCGTAAAGAAGTCAGAACGGTGTAGTTGTGCGTGTCATTAGCCCAGTTAATCTTCCATGTCATTAGCGGCAGTTTTCCGATTCACCCGCCTCTGGCGGGGTGGGTTCGAGTCGCTTCAGGTGCGCGCTATACGTTCATGACCGGAATGGCCTGTAGCCGATGACAGCAGCGAACTAAAGATCAGGTAGCGGTAGCGATCAGGCCGGACCATACCGAACATTGTGGCACTTGAAACTTCCGCCGCAAAGTTTTGCCCGTGATCTGGAATTTCCCGACTGGAAGGTAGGGCGAGCACACGCAACAAGTACTGCCTGGGCGAACGCTGCTCGCAGAATTGAATTCAATAAAAAAAAGTTCGGACCAGTTGCTATCAGCAGCCTGGGCCACCGCCCCTGACACCCCAGTCCGCTAGTGGCTACTAATTGGGAGGTCATCATCTACCGTTGAGTGCTCTGCATGTACCAAACGTAACCGCAACCGGAGTTCTAGACGGAGAACCTTGAACAGCCTTGAACGATTGGACATGAAATCATCCGAACAGAATGGGACCCAGCCCAGATCATTTCAAGCTAACCTAGGCTAACCAAACCAAGCCTGGCCCACCCAGCCCAACTACATGTCCGATATTCTCTAAGTCAAACCCCACATCGCAACTTTTAGGGCACATGCCGATAGGCCTACTTGCTGTAACACGTTGAAGAAAGATCAGCCACGCAATTACACCTCGTGTGTGCACTGCGACCACAAAGGTAGGTCAATGACTTTTAAATAGGATAGGAAGGGAACTGAGCGTATTCAAGTTACTTTTAGTCCTAATCATCTTTCATCTGTTTCTTCTTGCTCTTATTTTCATTTGCGTCCGAATCCAGCTTAGGGCTCCAGATTTTAATCTCTTCAAACGTTAAAACTGCTGGACCAGAGCCAGAATTTCAAGAAGTTCCTTAAAATTGCTGGACCAGCCCGAGCCCAAGTCCAATCGTCCCCAACATGAGTCCGAGCTCAGCCCCGAGTCCAGCTGGGCTCATCCCCGCCGGGAAGCAAGGCCCAACTCAAGTCTCTTGCAAATTCCAACATGCAGTCACACTCACTTTGAGAGCTTCTCTACGAGCAGTCTTGTCACAGTTCTTCGATGATAAAGAAATTAAGCAAGACGGACACATTACATGTATTATAGTGCTTGCAACTTCCATACAACGGAAATTTTGGTATCATCGCAAAACCGCTTGGGAGCATACTCTCCATTTATCATGTTTTTTAGTCGAGGAAGATTGAACACGTAATTAATCGATGCGCCTGTGAAAATGCTGGCTTGTAGTCCCGTGGACCACTGAAACACAGGAGCTTGTGGCATTATGGTCAATTTTGCGCGCTTTGACGGTTCAGCCATATATCGCCGGGTCACCAGTCCATTCGGACACACTGAAATAAACACAACCGGGCTGGTTGCTCACTGGCAGCACTTGATGGAACGGCATTAACTGGTACACGATGTTCCGGGCTTTTATTGACAATCCATGCCACGTAGCTTAGCCCAATATTCATACCATAAGTTGTGAGACAATATGCGTTGTCTTTTACTCACGTTTCACATTTATCTCTATTGCAACCACGGAGCAGCGACCAATGACCGGCCAGGCAAAGGAAGGGCATCGGCGAGGGTTATGGGAAATATAAATAGTGCTATGGCCCAAAAGATGGCAGCACCTATCCCAGGCTGCTCCAAAACCGCTGTAAAATTGAACTGTTCACCTGATCAGCACCGCCATAAGCCGTGTTGGAGACATCATTTAGAAGCTAGGAAGCAATAGCACAGCCCAGAAACATAAGACGGCTTGATCCAACCCTAGCAACACTATGCGCAGGATTATTTGTGCCATTTGCCATGATAGCACCAGCACTGGTCTGTCCAGCCCCTTGCTTGCAGTTCAATTGAAACACGGACGCCAAGCAGATCTGGCCATGGGGAGTAAATCTACCCATACATGTTTCGATCGGAGCGGTCTCCATCACCTGACTGGGAATCAACAGGCGTCGCCTGACCAACGCCCATGGAGTAGAACCTGACGATCGCCGACATACGATAGGCCGAGTGCAAACACGCCAATTCGTAAAAAACGATCCATCTACGACCCACTGCAACGACTCTTTGGTAAATGTAACACCGCAGCCAAACTGGTCTCACACTCCAAAGCATAAGCCACACTCACACAAACAGAGATTACGTACCGAGCAAAAGCAGAACTGAGCCACTGGGCGTCATCACCATCATGATCGTCATCCATGGCAACACGAAGTAAGCTACGTGACGACACCGCAACAAAGGGGGGGGGGGGGAACGCACAGCACGTTCCGCTACATAAACGGCCTAGACTACGGTGCTAAACCCGCTTGAGGCCACCATCCAGAACTCGACTGCTCGACGCGGCGCCAGAGTGGATAAAACGCCATATAGCGTCAACTATCGCTCACCGGCGTTGCACGCACTCAGGGCAACCGCCTCCCTCCTCTTACACAGCTCAATCGCAGCTCCACCACCGGCGATGCGCGCCAAGAGGCGTTCAGACTCCGCTCCTCTTACCCCCGGGCCAAGACACCCCACCCCAAGTGCCACGAGGCGTCCAGACTGTGTTCCCCTAGCCACCCGTTCACGGCACCCCACCCCACGTGCCACGAGGCGTCCAGACTGTGTCCTCCTAGCCACCCGTTCACGGCACCCCACCCCACGTGCCACGAGGCGTCCAGACTGCGTTCTCCTAGCCACCGGGCTACGACACCACACCACACAACACCTCACCATTTTACAGCAGCGCCCGCGCCTCCCGCCCGGCACGAGGGCCGCCTCGGGTCACACGCCCTCCTACACCACGACCGAAGCGGAGTGCGTGCTCAGCGCCGCAACCGCGTCACTCCAGTCCTGCCTCCTCCGCCGGCGGGGCGGCTCATGCCTGCTCCTCCACCACCACCGAGAGCGGGTCCGGGTCATCGGCGGAGAGCGCCGGCGAGGGGGCGTCGCCCGAGCCGGGCGACTCGTCGGCCTCCACCACCAGCGCCTCGGCGCAGCCCAGCAGGTGCAGGTCGGCAGTCTCGCCCGACTCCTGCTGGCGCGGGGGAGCGGGTCACACACGGCCGCAGCGGGCGGGCGGCGCCGGCGGGGGAGCGATAGGCGACAGGCATGTCAGCACGCTGCCAGCCCTTCTGAGTCACCAGCGTACACCGCGAAGTGGCCAGGAATCACAAACAGCCGGCAGTCATGTTCACAACACTTGTGTCAAGATACTACCTATATGCTGGTAGCATATTTTCACATCCAACCCAACCCATCCCGCCGACTTGTTTGCAGGTTGTCGAACAGGCCTTTGCCTGTTTGACAGCCGGACATAGCCGCGCGCGGGTTTACAACGGGGACCGATCCGCTGCCTTACGAGCACGTCTTCAACCCGCTGACCACCCCCCCCCCCCCCCCCGCTACGCCCTTCTCGGGCCGCGCGCGAACCTCACCTGCGGCCGGTCGCCGTCGGAGGGCAGCACCAGCACCTGGGCCGTCTCGCCGTTGATCTCGACCGTGCGCACGTCCAGCTCGGTGAGCAGCAGCTGGATGCGCTGCGGGCTGGCCGGGGCGGCCGCCGCCTCGGCGCCCTCCTGCGGCGCACAGGCGGGCGTCCGCGGGGCGCCGGCCGGCGAGCGGGCGGCCGTGCCGGACGCGGTGCCGGACGCTCGGGGAGCCGAGCCGGGCCCGGCCGGAGCGATTCAGGCGTTCGGAGCCGACCTAGCCAGCGGCTACTGGCCTTGTGGCCATTCGAACGACACAGCGAATCGCCCAACCGCCGGGAAGCAGTGAATATATGTCTTGGTATGGGTCATGCCAGTGCTACAGATGAAGCCAAGAGGACCTGGGCACGGGAAAGACAGGTGCAGTCACAAGAATGGGGAAAGGAGAAAGGAGAACGTTGAAAGAGTACATCATCATCATCATCATCAAAGAGTACATCCGCCTCCAGTGCCTGACAGCGCCGCGGGGCCGGCGTCGGCCTCCGGTCGACAACATCAGCAGAAGACACCAGATGCACGGTTACAGCGTGTACAGCAATCGTGCATGAGTTGGATCATCGCGAGTTAGTGGCGCGAGAAAACGGATATTGGACGAAGAGTGAGAGACCTCAGCGAGTCGTCCCTGCACGCTGCCCTTCCTTGCCGACAAAGAGGCAGAGCTTTTCCGGTGCCGCTTCAGCAAACCCACTGGCCAGACATTTCATGCGGTTCCACGTTTGCACGTGATGACACCAATTCGCATCCATTTCAAGGTAACGGCACCCCTACGCACCGCAGCTAACATGGCCAAAAATGAGAAAGTTTTCAGATGACAGCATTGGGCGCGCTTCAACTAGCTGGGGACGTCACGCATGGCGCAAGACCTGCTCAACGACCAACACATTCCAGGCACCAGGCACGCGTCACGGTCCCTTCTCCAATGTTCAATGTCAAACAGTCGCGGCGCATGGCTGCACCCGACAGGGGTGCCCGAGTGCAGGGGGCGGATATCGCACCTTTTGTTCCTGAGAAGCCGGGTGCGGAGCGAGCCAGCTGTGCTCGCGCTCCCGGTGCGACTGGAACGTGCTCATGTTGCGGAAGTTCTTGCTGCACACGTCGCACACGATGAAGCTCTGTAGGTGCACCATCTGGTGCTTGTACATGGTGGAGTACTCCGTAAAGCTCTTGTCACAATCCTGCAATTGATGGATCCAGGGCATCAGAAAACAGCGCGCAACACATAAAAATGAAAGCCTCATAACCATGCTATGCAAGCCCCAGTCACGTACTGCACCCAGCAGACTCCCCGGATGGTTAATTGGCCAGCTTAGGAAACTGGAGTCGATAATTCCCAGATGAGCTGTTGGGTTGAACGCACCGGTACATTTCCTGCTGTTTAACACGAGTCTCCCCCGGATGCAATCACAGCACTGCTACCGATGAGATGTACCGAGTACCGATGTTCTCCCCACCCGATGACATGTACTTTGACCAAAGCCGCTGAGCTGACCGAACCGGCATATGTGACCGACCAAACCTACCACCAAACCCGGACGCACGACCGGTGAACTCGGTGGATTTGACCCACGTCACATTGAAACGTGAGGGGCCGAGCACAAATTTGCGTCTGTGTGTGTGTGTGGGGGGGGGGGGGGGGGACTATACAGCGAAACGGGGAAAAGTCCCAGAAATCCTATAAAAATCCTAGGACTGTTGCACCTACCGGATGCTTGCAGACAAATGGCTTCTCCCCAGTGTGCGTTCTCATGTGGTTCTTGTAGTTCGTCTGGGACGAGAACGCCTTCGAGCAGTTGTCAAATTCACACACGTAAGGTCTCTCACCTGCGTCGCACAGGGTGAAAGGCAACGTGTTCACAGATTAGATCAACAGACGACATGAAACCACACGGCGAGGGCGGGTCACACATCCCATCACCAGATCCCGCAGAAACACAGCACAGATCATCAGCACAAATAACACAGCAAAGTGACCCTTCGAAGACGACTGGCCGGACAACGCCCACAAACTGCGAACAGTCGTTCGTAACATCGTTAAGTAAGTTGTTCGTCCACGCAGCTCGCGACAAGGCACCGAGAAAGGGCGTCCTCCACTACGAACCCACCCGTGTGCGTCCTGACGTGCACCTTCCTGATGTCCAGCGTCGAGAACCTCTTGAAGCAGCCGCGGAAGCTGCAGGCGTACGGCTTGTCGCCTGGCGAGATCACGCGGGCCATCAACAACCGAGAACAGCACGCAGGAGTTCTGCCCGCGGCAGACGAAGCGGACGCGATACGTCGAAGGAAAGCGACATGAGTCTCTTGATAACAGCTCGAATCGGGCTCGCGGAGCAAACTCGAGGGTTCCATAGAAAGGCAAAAAAGATACGACCCCTGGACTGTGCCACAGCGTGCACTTACTGACAACCGTTCCTCACACTGGCAGCGAAGCTTGTGTGGCATTGGGGCTTTACGACGCACTCAGCTGCTGGGGCTATATGGCGTCGCCTGCCTCTCACCCTGGCAGGAAGGGCGGGCACGGCGGGGAATCGAACCCCGCACCTCTGGTTTCCCAGACGCGCAGACCACTACACTACCGGCACCCCGGCAGCGAAGTTTGGAAACGAACAATGGAGCGGCCGATACGAGATTTACGTCCTGTAGCCATTAAGATCACTATACCATTGCATTTAGCAAAGATCGAACGCGAGCCACGACTTCTCCTGTGTCTTTCGCCAGCTACGTACAGAACTAACCACCTCGAATTTCCAGCATCCCTGACATCCCGTGAGAAAAAACCGCCGGCCACATATACAAATCACCGACATCTTTTGGTGAATCACATTCCACGGTGTTTCAACATTAACAACGCAAGCACGTGTTTCAGTACACCCTCACATCCCCTGTCAGCCAGCCAGCCGGTCGAGCTCGCCCCTCCCCCCCCCCCCCCCCACTCCACTGACCTGTGTGAATGCGCGCGTGCCGGCGCAGGTCACTCGACGTCTTGAAGGCCTTGGTGCAGCCCGCCACCGTGCAGCCGTAGGGCCGCTGTCCCGTGTGCGTGCGGCAGTGGGCCGACATGCTGTAGAAGCTGGTGAAGGTGCGGCCGCAGTCGGCCCACTGGCAGGCGTGCGGACGCTCGCCCGAGTGTACCATCGCGTGAGACTGCGGCAGCCGGCCGCCGGTCAGGGAGCGCATGGCAGCGGGCGGGCCGTGGAAGGACGAGCCCTTGCTGAATGTCTCCAACGCGCTCTTCGCGCTTCTTCAATCGTTTAAGTACTCAAACAGAACTGAATTTGAACGCTAGAGTTACACATCCATACACCGAAATTTACCCCATAAAGTGCTCTACACCAATGACACTAAAATAGACACTCAAAACATCCGTGACTTTTTAAACTTTTGTAGCTTTGCACGCATTTTCACCTCCGTCAGCCAAGCGTTACATTAACAGATACGCATGGCGTCGGAGGCCGCCGCCGGCCGCACTCTCAGCGGCGGGCCGGCGCGCGAGGCCCCCGTGCGTGGGACAGCCTCACCTTCAGCGAATGGTACGATAGGAACTTCTTGTCACAGCCTGCAAAATCACAGGAGTGGGACGTGCGCGCCGCCTTCTTCTCCTTGGCCCTTCGTTCCAGTGGCAGGTCCATCACGACACATGTAGTCGGCTGAGGACACCTCTCCAGCCACTTCCGGGTCATCTGAGGCCACAGCTGAGCATGAGTACTGTGTATTACAGGTGCTATGACTTTATTCAGATTGCTCTGGTGGATGTCCTACCAACCAGGGGTGTACTTTCAATGAACCAGTTGGGGGACTAGGTGATCTACTTGATATGCTATGTAAGCTGTGCCCAAGCCATGCTGTTCTGCAGGCATGAATTTTTTTTCGTCCAAAGGAGTGACCTACTTCAAAACACCATCATACTGCCCTTACAGCAGCTTCACATGGTCTCTAACTGAGCACTGATGGACACCATCAATAACAAAAGACGTGTCAAATACACGTGTATGCTCACCTTGCTGCATGCTATCTTCTGTAAGCAGGCTGACATCACCCAGCTTCAAATCCTCAACAGTGCCATCACCATGGTCTGTATCTGAAAAAAATGAATGGAAAGATGTGTGAAACCACAACTTGAGGTGTTCATACAAAAGGCAAAGTGGGATGGCATCATCACTACTTGACTTAACAAGTGCCTTGATGGCCTGTTAAATGAAACACTGCTGGGAGGGGATGGGGTGGGGGTGGGGGGCAATTGGTCCTGATGTCTAAAAAACTAAGAGAGGCAAAGACACAAAGTTGATGAAATGCATAGTCAAATGCACACTTACTTATGCCAAATTTTGAGGCCCATTGGTCACAACTTCTGGGTCAAATAAGGCCAAACAAGGTCCAACTCCAGATAAGTGTCTGAAGTCACCTCAGACCTCCTTATGTGACCACCTTCAATCTAACCACCTCATCTATTTACTTCTTCAAGGCAAAAGGTAACTGATATTACTCTCAGGTCAGTGACATCATTTGACCTTCAGAGGGTCATTGTGACCAAAACCTGCAAAATTGTTTTGATTTCTGAATTTCAAGTAAGTGCCAAGGATTACACCGGGAAGCATGTTCCTAATATTCTACGCTAACCTATTCTGACCTTTATAAAGTTCAAACACATTTCTTGATCTCACTGCTGATCCAAAATTTTAAATAAGCCCACAGAAAAGTAATCTACAACTGCAACCCTACTCATGTAATTGTCAAATAAAAGTCTCAAAGATGTGCAGCTTCATCTAACACCATGATGTCATATCACATTGGATAATTCTCAAGAAATGGCTGCTGCTGATAGCCATAGCCTGACTCTGACTAGCCAAGGCTCAGGGACCTTACAAGATAAAGGACATTTGTTTAATGCTGAAGGATGAACTGGATAAGCTGGAGCAGTGTGAAATAACCCTATAGCTTTAATTATCACACATAGCTGCTCAGGCCATCTGCATCCCAAATATCTTCTTTTCTAACAAATCAGATTTATTATCTTTAAATTTTTACAAACCTATACTGGTTAAAAAACATACAGCTTAACCAGCCATGAGAGCAATGCTGTTGTAATAAAAAACTTACCTGATGCAGATGGCTGACAGAGTTCAACAAGCTTATGGGATTTATTATATTTTTTCCCAATATTTGTGGTTTTCTTCATGTTTCCTATAAATGTATAGTGGAATACTTATCCATCACAGTCACAGATTACAAATGACTAACTACCAAAAAAGCTCTACAGATACATCTAAAATGAAAACACCATTTGCACTAAATTAGAATGCAAGTCACAAGGTCACAACACCCACTATTTGCTGCAAATTTCAGACAGTACCAAGGTGCATATTTTCAAAATTACTATTTACTAGGCACTACAAGTCATGGAACACCAGTGGCATATGGAACTAGTGGAATCATTGAAACTTGGTCAAACATTGATCAGATAAAAATCAATCGAAAAGAGTGATAGAATTCCATTTCATAAAAGCCCCTGTGAAATTAAATAGTGATTGCAGTCCTGTGGACAGAATATAGGAGCTTGTTTGAAATACGTTCATAACTACATTGACCCCATTAATTTTCCCCACACAAGCAAAGGCTAATAACTGCAAATGAACTAGTTCATTACCGTGCGCTGATGCCAATTACTTGTTTACCAAGCAAAATATCTGTCCGCCGCAAATTCAAGACAGCTGTATTCCCAAGAGCTTGCAACGACCTTATGCCTGCTTTTAGCTCATAGGCCAAGAAAGCATAGTGCCTCAAGCAGATACTCATGGGTACTCCAAAACACCCCTTAATTTCCACACCATTGTTCGTAGACCTAATAACCACTACACACCATCCGCTGACTTCAAAACTAGAGCAACCGCTCCCCGTCCCCCCTAACCAGCGGAGAGCACAACTATCAAATAGCCGCATGCGGCACATACGTCACCACACGGTGTGCTATAAGTTACAAAAATGACAAAAAAGTTTCAGATAATAGTCTAGCACCAAAATGTGTCAAACGCATAGCAAACGAGAAAAAATAATGTTTTTTTAAAGATTGGAACAAAATACGTTATATCATTTCGTCAAAAAATGCTTCATTTTCTTGTTTTGACGGCAAGAAATGTGGATCATACATAGGAGCGCTGTTTGTGGACTGAGAATGCACGACCAGAGGTTTCATATACCAAAAAACAAGTTTTGAATACATTTTTTCACAGTAAAAACACAATATTTGAATCTTAAATGTGTAAAAGAAACTAATTTTTATAAAAAACTAGCTGTGTTTCTAATCAAAGTACGAAAAAGATTGAATGGCAAGTTTGAGAAATGTTGCAGTCTTTTATCATGAGCTGTTTCGTCTTACTGGCGGAAAATACATATGTGGTTCTGAATACAAAAGCTACACCGCGGCTACCCGGGATCGAGGGACAGATTCGTTTGTTCGCGACACTGCGCGTGTGATTCCTGGGAGCTAAACATTGTATTTTGTGATAGGTTTTGATACTCGCTCTTGTTTCTTTGAAAACAAGGTTTCGGAGTGTACTGCGATAACAAAGGTAGAAGGCTATCTTCGGCATCTGTTCCTGTACCCCCCCATTTGAGGAGTTGAAGGTAATTCTTTGTTGTGGTTTATTTGTGAGTAATTGTCCATGCCCTGATAGTGTAATAAGGGAGAAAGTAGTGAAGATAGAGGTGCCTGCATTGCATTACTGGAGGAATTATCAATGTTATCAACTATCAATGAACCAACAATATCAATGAATTATCAATTATGACTTGGGTGCGAACACAGTGACAATTTCTAGGTCAACTGGCAAAATTAGCCATCCCTCGCACCATACTCTTATGTGGCATCAGTGTGCTGTACCTGGAGCGTGTATGCGCTTGTTCCAGGGTGCAGAATTTACAATGGATATTCAAGTTGTTATTTTTATGAATGTGGCAATATATTTTTACCCAAAAATGTCTGAATTTTTCTTAATCTCATGCATTATTGGCTTTCAATGACTGAAGTTGGTGGCAAACCTTCTTTGAACATGGGGATTTCTGTTAGATTGGTGCATTTGCTGGCATTGTTGCCAAGATGCTGCTGTGTTGCTGGACATGTTTGCTGCCACACTTATTTTTGTAGTCTGGCCAGCTGTTAAATATAGGCTTTAGAGGAAGATATGATCAAGTGTTTTAAATGGATAGTTGGTTCTTATGGTTCTGCTAACTGCTGAGGCATTTCAGCAATAGTTATTTTGCACTGGAGGTCTGGCATTGTTAACATAATTTCATCAAAACTGATATGGTCTGGAATCTGGCTTGTATGTATAGAAGCCATTGTGAGTAGATGCATATAAGGAACATTTCTAGTGCAGTCTGAGGTCTGGCTGATATGTATATAAGCCACTGTGAGTAGGTCCATGCAGTACATTTCCCACAAAACCAATGCAAATGCCTGTGATGTGCCTTATTAGTAAAATGAACAAACTTTGCCTAATAAAATAATAAAAAGCCCAATGAACTAATTTTGGGATTGGTAAGTTTATGTAATCATACCTGTCAATATCACAGAAATAATTTTAATACTGTACACCAACATAACTTTTTCCTCTAGGAAGAAGCAGAATGGTGCAAGTGACATCATGTTTCTCTTCTATACTGGAGGCCCAAGCTTCCTTCTTAGCAAGCACTGTGGCCTCTGGCTGATAGCTTGACAGTTGTAATCACCATTGCTGCATAAAGGACTGATTGACAATGAGTGCCATGCTACCTTTAAAATAGAATAAAGTCTGTTCAAGCACAGCATTTTATTATTGAACACTAATATATTTGTCACATTATTGGTCATGGTATTCCTTACGCTGATCTGTTGAAAATCACGGAATATCATTAATTCTCAATGACTAGAATAATCTATGCGATATTATTTATCAAGTGGTCTTGACTACATCACTGTTTGAATGATACTGCACTATATTGCCATGCTAGATATACATAGCCAAATACACACCATAAGTTTTATCATAAACCACCTTACACATAACACCATTCTCAGTGACTTGAAGACATTTGATGAAAGTATGTTTCCATTAGTTTTTTATTTAATTGCCCTCTTACATTCAAGCAATATTATTTCACCATGCAGTCTTTGAGCTGAAATTGCAATTAACTAGAAGTGAAGCTGAATAGAAAGGTCAGCTCAGTTGCAGTGCTGCAGAGGCCATGTTGTGAAGGGATCTTTCCATTTTTGACACTTCATTTAGATGTCTTAGGTAGTCTTGAACCATATTTTTTTGGAGGGAAGCCTCCACCCAGACACTTTGATTCAATGATAACACTGGAATTGTGTAGGAATGAACTTATCTATCACTGGACACTTTGATTCAATAGTAAATTTTAGAACTGTGTGGGAAGGAGCTTATCTACCAGTGACATGTCATAGCCCATTTCATTCCCAACCACACCACACCCCTTGTTTCAGCACTGCCTTCTTGTGCGAATCGCCGACCATGTACAAGTTCCGGGCCGCCCTAGTGGGCCACAGCTCCGATGTGCGGGCCGTAGCTGCCGGCATCTGCCCCCAGGGCAGCGTCATCACGTGCTCGCGTGACGAAACGGCGCGCATCTGGACGCCCAACAGGTCAGTGCGCTGTGCTGGGATGCTGCGTGTTCATGGCCGTGACGAGGCGGCCGTACGAAACTGGAATGAAGGAGGAGGATAGTACTGTGTGCTAGTCGGTGGTCTGTGCTTTACAAGATCGCGCGTAACAATGCACAATCAGAGAGCTTAACTATTACTTGTATACTATAAACATGAGGTGGATGATGATTATAATGTGTGTTTGAAGATGTTCAGTAGGCACAGAGTGTACATCACACAGTAGGATATTGGTGATGATCATGTGTATGTGAAGGCATGGAATAGACATCGTCGCCACTGGGGCTTTACGACGCATTCAGCTGCTGAGGCTACATGGCCTAACCTGCCTCTCACCCTGGCAGAATCGGCTGGCACTGTGAGGAATCGAACCCCGTACCTCTGGTTTCACAGACGTGCATTGCTTAACTCAGACGCGTTAACCACGGCACTACCGGCACCCATAGACACCCATGTCATGCAGAAGGGTATTGGGGATAGGAAAGGGAGTCATAACAGCCCCACACTTCTGTTGATATATGCACTGTGCTGGGTTCAGTAGCACGTGGTCTCACTGTGTCCGTGCCCCGGCAGCGGCGATGTCGGCTTCGCGACGGCGCAGACGCTGCGCGGCCACAGCCGGTACGTGGTAGCGGCGTGTGTGATGCCGCCCTGCGACGAGTACCCGGACGGCCTCATCCTCACCGGCAGCAACGACGCCAACATCCACGTGTACTCGCACAAGAGCAGCGAGCCGCTGTACCGGCTCACGGGGCACACGGCCACCGGTGAGGAGGCGGAGGAGGGACGGGCCGCGGGGGACGGGGGGTCGACATTAGCTGGTGGTGCGGGTAAAGCTGTGGGAGAGACGGCTGCGAGGTACGCGGTGTCGACAGCAGCTGACGATGGGGTGGAGCTTTGGGAGGGACGTGCGGCCAGGACTGGAACACAGGCGCACAGGACACCAAAAAGTTGAAGTGGGGACGAGAGGCCGGGAAAACTGTTGCATGTTTTCATGAAGAAGCATAACTTCATCTGAACAATGCCAGATTTTAGTGTCAGTCGGGTGGGAAGAGGAGGAGGCGCATCCATCCACGTGCTGACGGTCCGCAGGGGACTAGGAAGAAACGCCATAATAGTACGTTCCTACTCTATCACTTTTCTCACAGTTCTGATTGCCAAACAAAGCTAGGACTAATGAAACAGAATATCTGTTCAGGCACGTTGGTTTGTTGTCAGATATGAACAGGAATCCAGGAAGCCAGAGGGACGGGGTTCGGTTCCCTGCGGTGCCCTCCCTTTCTACCAGGCTGACAGGCAGGCGACGCCATATAGCCTCAGCAGCCGATTGCGTCATAAAGCCCCGCCAGGTTGATGCGATCGTCATAAAGCCCGTCCCTCCCGCGTCTGCCGACGACCTGCCTGCCCTCCGACCTCTGACCGGCTCTCTGACCTCTGACCCTCTGACTCTCCTCCGCCCCTTGCTCTTCGCCTCTCCAGTGGCGGCGCTGGCGGCCGGCAAGTTCGGCACGATCGTCAGCGGCTCGTGGGACTGCAGCGCGCGCGTCTGGCTGGGTCAGAAGTGCGTGCTGACGCTGAGCGCGCACAGCGCCGCAGTCTGGGCCGTGGCCATCCTGCCCGGCTCGGGGCTGGTCATCACCGGCTCGGCCGACAAGACCATCCTCGCCTGGAAGACCGGCAAGGTCGTGCAGAAGTTCACTGGTGGGTGGCCGGCGACAGCGGCCGCGGGATGTGGTGGGCCCGGGGGACGATGGGCGGGCAGAATGGTGTTCGCTTAAGGTTTGTCCGTTTTATGTTTTGTGGCATTTTCTACGATGCATTATATTGGAAAAACAGCCTTACGCGTCTCTGAAGTTGAGCATCGTCTCTAGTTTCACGGCGTGTAGCGAAGCCACTGTTTTTCATCCATTCTTCGAAGTCAGCTGGTGAATTATATCGATCGGAGGCATGCGGTGTTGGGTGAAGGGAGCGGCGGTTGACCTCTGACCCGACGCCAGGGCACACGGACTGCGTGCGCGGCCTGGCCCTGCTCTCCGAGGATGAGTTCCTCTCGTGCGGCAACGACGCCACCATCCGACACTGGAATATAGACGGCAACTGCATCCACACCTTCTACGGCCATTCCAACTTTGTCTACAGGTGTGGCAGCCTTTAGCACTTGTGCTCTGCGAGATGGCTGGCACTTTTAGGTCCATTCCAGCCGAAACATACGCTGGCGATTTGAGGAGATCTTTGAAGTGCTACCTGTGGTGTAATACCCGTTTTTGTGTGACAGACGTGGACACTACTCCCATGTCATCCGCTTGTTTTCGATTCTGTGCGGGCTTTGCACCAGTTGCGTTTAATGGCCTGACACCTCGTGCCGATCGCGTCCCGGGCGGGCCCCCCCTGCGTCTATCCGCCGGCTTATCTCGCTCCCCGTCGGCTCCACGGACCATGCCCCTCACCACCGACCGCGGCCTCCACTCGCCGCCCTGCCTGCCTGTCTGGCGCCGGCGCCCTCGCCCTCTCACCACGCACGGGGCTCGCCGCAGCGTGGCCGTGCTGCCGAACGGCTCGGACCTGGTGTCGGCCGGCGAGGACCGCACGGTGCGAGTCTGGCGGCGCGGCGAGCTGGCGCAGACCATCAACGTGCCCGCCCAGTCGGTGTGGGCCGTGGCCTGCCTGCAGAACGGCGACATCGCCGCCGGCTCCAGGTCAGCGGTCGGCGCCGGCGAGGAGCCGCCGAGCAGGGCGCTGGGGACCGGCGGCTGGCGGTGCTGGCTGGTCGGGCGCGCTGGTTGTGGCGTGGTTGGACTGGTCGTGGTGTGGTTGTTGTGACAATGATTGGGATAGTGTTTTTCTGGCGGTGATAGGGAGAATGCAGACATAGGTATTGGCTAGCAGCGCTGTCAAGTGCTGACCGCAGTGCGGGCGTAGGTACTGTTGGGTTTTAACGCTCCGTACGCATCGCGTGGTCCCACATGTCGGGGACGGTATGCCCTATCCCAGCGGAGACCCTCCGGGCTTCTTTAGACGGCAGACAGGACAAGCCGATGCCGCCTGCCGGGCCCGTCACCCGCAGCTACCGCAGCCCCGCGCCTCAGCCGACGGGCGACGGCCGTCTCACCGGGCCGCGCCGCGTCGCGCCGCCTCGCACGCAGCCCGTCAGCGCCGACCGCTCTGACGGCGGCCATGTTTCAGCGATGGCGTGTGTCGGGTGTTCAGCGCGGCCCCCGAGCGGCAGGCGCCGCCCGACGGCCAGCACGCCTACGAACAGGAGGTGGCCAGCACGCAGATGAGCAAGGCTGACCTGGGCGGCTACAAGGTGCGGCCGCGCCCGCTGACGCCCGCTCGCCGCGCGCCGCCGCGGGTCGGGGCTCTGGCTCGCGACGGCGCGCGGTAGTCTCTGCCGTGGCGTGTCTCTCGTGCGTGTTGCCTGGTCCTCGCCCGGGACGCGCCAGTATGCTGGCGCTGGGTGACCTCTAGCAAACAGTCTGTCCGCTCGGCGCCCGTGTCGTCCCACAGTGGCCGGCCGGCGCGCATCTGCTCTGTCTCAGCGGTGGCATGTCGTGGCCGGGGTGTCGCGTCAGTACCGCCCGCCCGTCGGCGGTCCCGTGACGCGCCTGCACCGTCGCCCAGCGGCGCCGGCGGCCGGCGCTGAGCCTCCGCCCGCCGCCGCCAGGTGTCGGACCTGCCGGGCGCCGAGGTGCTGCTGGCGCCCGGCCGCCGCGACGGCCAGACGGTGATGGTGCGCGAGGCGTCCGGCGACGTCACCTGCCACAGCTGGTCGGCCGCCGAGCAGCAGTGGAAGAAGGTCGGCGACGTGGTGGGCGCGTCCGGCGGCTCCACCGAGACCTCCGGCAAGGTGCTGCACGACGGCAAGGTGAGCGCTGGACGCCTACGGAGCGGCCGGCTGCGGCGCGGGCGGAGAGTCGGCTCTGGGTTCTGGCTCTGGCCTCTGGCCTCTGGCCTCTGGCCTCTGGCCTCTGGCCTCTGGCCTCTGGCCTCTGGCCTCTGGCCTCTGGCCTCTGGGCTCTGGGCTCTGGCTCTGGCTCTGGGCTCTGGGCTCTGGGCTCTGGCTCTGGCTCTGGCTCTGGTCTGGCTCTGGCTCTGGCCTCTGGACTCTGGCCTCTGGCTGAGAGGGGGCCGAAGCTCTGGGCTGCGACGAGGGAGACGCGAGCACGGCTTGATGGTACAGTTATCTGTGCCGGATCCAAATGACGCTAGCCTTCTAGTCATAAATACTTGCCTTTGTTATGTGGTGAGAGTTAGAAGGATTGCTCCAAGTTTTGAAACGTTTTGGCCGTAAGATGACAGTAGTCATTCTGCTCTTTGCTTCAGTCTTCTTCTCGGTACATGTCCTGCAGTTCTAAATGCTATCATGTTTAGTGCGAATACTTGGTGGTAAGGTGGTGGTCTCAAGAACCAATGAAAACCTAAGCATAATGTACGATCCGACCGCAGTATCAAATAGCTAGTCGTAGGATTCCAAACGATGGGATCAAAATAAGCGTAGTTAAAAACTGACCACAGAGTCAAGAAGCTGGTTGCCTGACTCCAAACACCTGAGCCCATCCTAGCCTGACAAACATGCTCGCAACATAATAAGTATCATACGCAAATTATGGTCAGTGCATCACGAGAAAATGTCGCTCCACCCATCATTTTTAGCTATCGGAACGTCGTATCGAACCGATGTTACAGAGCTTCACCAGTGCGTAAGATGATGCATCTCGGGTACCTGACTTTAGAGCTGGCGTGTGCGAATAACATATTTACGACAGAGTCGCCACCATGCCTCAAGGGATGTACGGGCCCCGGTTTCGCCTCGCCTGGAGTTCGAGCCCGCCGTTCGTGCCGACAGCAATACGACTACGTGTTCACGGTGGACATCCAGGAGGGCGCGCCGCCGCTGAAGCTGCCCTACAACACGTCCGAGGATCCGTGGCAGGCGGCGCAGCGCTTTATCCACAAGCACGACCTCAGCCAGGCGTTCCTCGACCAGGTGGCCAACTTCATCATCAAGAACAGCGGCGGCGCCGGTGTGGCCGCCGCGCCCGCCCCCTCCGCCGACTACTATGACCCATTCACCGGTAAGTCGCCTAGTGACGAGCCGATCATCCTACAGTGGGATGTGCGTGCCACGTCTTGGAGAGGAGGACATGGCAATGCTGACACAGAAGCCAACGCGGTTGGCATGTGACAAGTGACGTCACAGCCGGGAGCCTTGCGTTATGACGAGTACACTGTGGCGGGCAGCCTCCCCTCTTCAGGCCGCCCCGATCGCGTGTCTCACTCGCACCCCGGCGTGCAGGGACCGGCCGGTACGTGCCGGGAGCGGCGGCCGGCGGCGCGGCGGCGGGCGGCGGCGCCGACCCGTTCACGGGCGGCGGCCGGTACGTGCCGCCGGCGGCGATGGACACCAGCAGCGGCCCAGCGGCGCCCGCGCCCACCACGCCCGCCGCGCCGCGCTACTTCCCGCAGGACGAGTTCCTCTACTTCGACAAGGGCAACGTGGACGGCATGGCCAGTGAGTGTTTGTGTAGTGGGGGGGGGGGGGGGGGGGGACGGGCACCGCATACGCGACGGAGGTCTGGCAGTGCGGGGGATGGGGTCGGAGAAGGCACCGGGAGCGCGTTGCTGGGGTATGGGGAGAGGTAGACCTGTGGTACCGTTCATGATGGTGATCAGTTGTGTGACTGCAATGACGATACGACTGCGGCAGTCGTGCGCATAATTACAATCCTTTTTTAATTTGTGGTCGCGATTGGTGTCAGTCGCGGCTTGTAATCCCCACGCGCGTTTGTTGGCCTGCCCCTCGCTTCCCATTGTTCCCTTTACCAGTGTGTTGACGAGGATCGGCAGCGGCCGCCAGTGCGCACGGCAGCCCATTCTAACGGTCCGACGCGCCGCCCGCCACAGCCAAACTGCGCGAGTTCAACCAGCGGACGGGCGACGGCAGTCACCGGCTGGAGGAGGCGGTGCTGTTGGAGCTGACCAAGCTGGCCGAGCCGGCGGAGACGCCGTCGCCCAACCACCTGGCCACCCTGCTCCGGCTGCTCGACTGGCCCAAGGGTGAGCTGGTGCCGGCCGGGTGCCGGACAGGTGGCGAGCAGGCCCCGGCTGGGGCGGCTGACGGGATTTGAGGAGGCTGGTGTTGGGTGGCTGTGCCAGGGGTCTAGTGGTCTTGTTTAGGCGCCGCGCCACACCCACAGAGCGATTTGTGAGCAGCACAGTGGTTGTCATCGCCACAACTCGTGGGCAGAATTCGCGTGCCGCATGATACCGAGCATAACTCGGGCGGGGTGCCGGACGCGCGTTCTTTTCGCGACGTGCGTCTCCGCGCCACCTTTCCCGCTGTCTGATCATGCTCGCGCATGGCCGCCACCCACTGACGCCGCCCGCTCCGCGCCGCCAGAGCTGGCCTTCCCGGCTATCGACCTGCTGCGGCTGGCGCTGAGGAACGCCGCCACCTGCGAGTTCTTCTGCTCGCCCGAGCGGCGGCCGGCGCTGCTCGCCGCCCTGGAGCGCTTCGCCCAGCCGGACTCGCCGCCGGCCAATCAGATGCTGGCGCTGCGGGCGTGCTGCAACCTGTTCCGGCACGCGGACGGCGAGCGGACGGTGCTGGAGGCGCGCGAGACGGTGACGGCGGCGGCGCTGGCGCTGCTGCCGGGCGTCAGCCGCGCCGTGGAGGTGGCGCTCGCCACCCTGCTGCTCAACATGGCCACGAGCCTGCGGCGGCGCGGCGAGCTGGAGGCGCGCGCGCAGACGCTTTCGGCGCTGGGCGTGCTGCTGCAGCGGCTGACGGACGGCGAGGCGCTGTTCCGCGCGCTGGTCGGCTTCGGCACGCTGGCGGTGGCGGCGCCGGAGCTGGCGGCGCTGGCGCGCAGCCTCGAGGTGGACGCCGTGCTGGCGCGGCTCCGCAACGTGCCAGAGCCGGCCAAGGTGGCCGCCTGCGCCGGCCAGCTCGATCAGCTGGTGCGCAACAGCTGAGCCGGCGCGTGCGCGCTGGGCGCGGACTGTGGGTGGCCGCGGCGGCGGTCGGAGGGCGTCGATGTCCCGACCAGTGTTCAGTCGGTGTCTCGTGATCCGGGTTTGGCGACGACACACGATCCGCAGACGTACCTCCTGTGTAACCAGAGCGAGCGCTACCGCTGAACGCGCGCGCGCCGCCGACGTCGTGCTGGGCACGTACTCTATGTCGGCCGGTGGATTTCTTTGAGGATGAAGCCGGTTCAGTCATGCCGAGGGAGTCATTGCTCTTCGAGTGTTTATTTCGGTTATCTGTTGTTTCCTGAGTCGTATTTAAATAATACAGGTTTATAAAATACGACCCAGAGCCCACGCTACTTGGTGTGGCTGCTATTGCTATTCTAGCCGCGCCTGCCGAGCAGATGCAGCACTACAACAAGGAAGAAGTCACCGACACATCGACGGGGTAAGTAATATCACACAGTCTCCAGCCCGTGTGGAATGTGGTGCGCTGCCGCCGTTTACTGGGTGTGGGTGCTAAGCGCGCGCGCGCCGCGAGCGGCCACGTCTGGAGCGGCGGCCGGTCCCGCGAGCCGGGCCGGCACGACTCGCGTTCGGCTCACTCGTCCGTTACACATCGACCGGGTGCTAGTACACTCTTAACTTAACGCAAACAAACCCAAACTGACGCGGCAGGAACCTGGAATCCGTAGTCTCCTATGACGTAAGCAATACCTGGAGCAGCCGCACGATAAGCAGATGAGCGACACGAACCAGACGCCCTCACGCATATTACGCGCATCTAAACATCCACACTAGAACGGTTATCTTGGAAGACCACATAGAAAATCACAGCTTTCACCTTTATCAACCCCTATTACCTTATACATACTGGCGTGTTATCTGCCGATGCGTCGCACCCAGCTCCTAGAAAACATTCACGGCCTTTTCACTGCCAAGAAGATTCGAATTGATATACGGCAATTGCACCACATACATGCGATTGATCACCATGCCGCCGCAACGGCTATGGCACAAACCCGCGCACGATAGCCCCATTTTGGCGTGTTCTTACCTCTTCCATGCAACTACCAATTGAGGAACACATCTTGCGGGACCTGATTCACCGCTCCTACGCGTATCCGGTCGTGCGGCAGCCAGGGACAATACTAGACGCACGGCATACTGAAGCAAACCGTCGCTGCTACAACGATCGGTCCACTATGTGATCCCGTGGCAGCGCTACAGCGCTCTACGAGCCAGCCTGCCGCCGATCCACGAACGCCAACACCAGCTACTACCGCTCACCAACGCCACCTATAACCGCCCACTAGCGCCACCTACCGCTACGCGACGATCCCACCACTACATCCCTGCGTGAGCTGTTGATCCCAGCGATTGCATCGTCTCGCCTCTCCGCGCGCCCGGCTCCGTCTCCGCCCGGGCCAGCCTCAGCTCCAGGGCCGCCTACTGCAGCGCCACGGCCAGCGCCTTGCGCACGTGCGGCCAGATCTTGTTGGTCTCCGTGCCGGAGAACTCCCGCAGCAGCCCGAGCTCGCGGTAGAACTCGATGACGGGCCCGGCCGACGCCTGGTACACCTCCAGCCGCTTGCGCACCGCGTCCGGCGCGTCGTCCGGCCGCTGCACGAGCCGCTCCCCAGTGACGTCATCGGTGAAACTGGCGGCAAGCGGCGGCGGCGGCGTGAGCGGCGAGCACGGCCGGTCCAGGGGGAGCGCGGGGCGGCGCGAGCCGGGTCCGCAGACCACAGATTCGCCGCTGCGGACTCAGCGGGCGTTCACACACACAAACACGGGCACAAGCCCGTGGGTACACGAACAGACCACAGGTGGCACAGTAACATGTCGGAAGTAACGGACGGAACTGCCGGTCAGCGACCGTCCGAAACATAGCTGAGTCGGAGCACTAGCCACGTACCAACGCTAGGACAATTTTTTACCTTATCATGTGCCCTGAAACGCACCAGCCAAGCCGAATAAGTCAAGATGCAGACGTGTCCCTTTCCTGTGCACTAGGCATGCTCACACTGACCAACCGTGTTTTTTTATTTGGACATGACCAGGGATGGGCGCATATATGCTTTTTGAAGCGTCACGAAACATGGCTTAACATGTTTTTTTTACCAGCATGACCCCCCAGCTAACAACTAGCCATTCTAACATATACAGGCAACCTTCCATCTGGAAAATCTTCACATATCTGCCAAATGCCCCTGAAGGCTTAAGGACCTTCTGACCCCACTACAGTCCGCCTCATAGCCATCATTGGGTACCACAGTCCAGCCAGGAACCAGTCGCCCGCCGCATCATTCGTCTACACCACTTCCATCGCTTGGACGTTGTAAGTGGTGTCAGGAATGTTATCACTGATAAAAGTGCACTAAATATAATTATCTGACATGTGGGGTACTCAGACCAGGTTGCCGGGTTCAAGATGTACTTTCGTGGCCCAGCAACCATAATGATGCGACCAGCCACCTCTTTCGAGGCACATAATTTTGCATCTGTATAAAAGGAGACAAAACTCATTTCACTACATAAACCAGGAGGGCATGCAGCATGCACACAAATGTTATAAACTAACATCGCCACAACCATTTAAAAAAAATTAAAAGGCTAATTCTGTTTGCATTTTCTGATCATAGGGTTTCTTGCTTCGTCAACAAAGTATTAACGTCCCATTGCCGCACCACAGACGCCACACACTGTCAGTATTCTCAGGCACATGATGACTGCTACCTCGATAAGGTCCAGGTCTAACAAAAATCACTGAACTTCGCACTCAATGAAAAGGGCACTCGACACGAAGCGCAATCCAATGCAACCAAATACCATGAAGCGTCCTGCCGGCAAATCGTTTCGGTCTTCGTTCCCTTCCAAATGACCCGAACTCGGATGGGGACGGCGTCCTGCCGGTCCGAGGACAACCGTCCACCACACAGTGAGGGCAGCTGCCTCCTTCATGGGGAACAGGGCAAGCTGGCGTGCCTCTACTCGCGTTGATGTGCGGAAGATATCATCAGTGCTTGGCTATATTTCAGATTGGACGGTCTCCCAATTAGCCGCAAGCAACGCCTTTGTACCAAGCCGTGAGATCGGTATGGATTGGTGTTTTTATGTTTGAGAATATATGATAGTATAGAGCAGGAAGTATCTTGCTTTAGTCCAACAATACAAGCACAAAAGTTCCTAGACAGTAAAGCTTGCAGCGACGTCCCACTGAACACAAATAGAGCTCATAGGTTGCAAAGAAATCAACTTGCATTGATTCATTGAGGGCAGGTTACCTACCTTTTGTCTGTGTTGTGTGACAAATTACTTATATTCAGTACCATCGCCAACGAGAGCAAAGGAAGAAACAAGAAAAAACAAATAAAAAACTCCTCAGCGACCACCTTACAACCACAGTTATTCTGCCAAGAACCCTTTTCGAACGCATTCGCCGGCATTGACAGTGGAAGAAGAAAAGACGATTGCGCCACCGACCATCTCCTCCCTCCGCTAATCCCAGCAAGAACACCGCGCATCGGCACAACAGCAGGCGGACCCTGCCATCCACCCTCCTTCAGCCCGCCCGTCCCGACTGACCGGCTGCTTCGGCGGCTCGAACAGCGTGTTGTAGATCTGCCGCTGGGCAGGTGCACCCAGCGGTCCTTGATGCGGTCAATGATGACCTGGAACGGCACGCTTGAGGCTGATGACCGTGTCCAGCGGCTGGACACGGTTGCAGCGACTCCGCCTGTGAGCGTGTGCGCGGGAACCCTGCCGGACAGCGTCCACAGTCACAGGCCGGCGGCGGCTGCCGGCACCGCACGGCCGACCACGAGACGGCGTCGATGGCACGAGACCACGCGCCGAAATCGGCGGGTGCTACGATCGTGTACGCTGGAAAGTGATCAGATGTACCGCAAGAGGTCGCTTTCAGTCAACGAGACGCGGGCCGCAGGAGATTTCAGCAGCTGCCAGTCAGCGTGTCAGTAGACGTTTCCTTACAGCTCTAGAGACAAAACAAAACCCGGCACCACACACCCCACGCACTTATTCGCGACAGCCAACTCCCAGGCCATGCCACCACGCCGGCTTCACTGCCGCTTTCAAGCTGTTTTTGAACGATGTTTGAGTTTCAGAGTGAACACGCAAGCGTAGCACACGCGCTACGCAGTTCAGCGTGGTCGCCTACCATCAAGCAGCCAGCTGCTGTCGGACATTTTCTTCAGCTCGTCGGAGATGAGCGAGACCATGGTCTCGTCCGGCACCAGGGAGCCCTCGTCAATGAACTTCTGCGCCTGCAGGCCCACTTCTGTGGACCGGCGACGGGCACGGGTCAAGCAGTGATGCGCGGCGGTTGACGTCTGGAGAACTAAAGAGAGGTGTCTCTCCCGCGTGTGGTGTCACCCGTGCTAGAACACCCAAGGTTAGATGTGGTTAGACTACAACAGTTGGCAGGTCACAGGAAGCACGAGCATACAGTAACCGTCTGAACAGGCCGAAAATTAACTGCTATCTGGCTGTCTTATGTGATAATGTAGCAAGGATGATGACAGAGTGGAAAGCTGACAATGTGTACATAGCTTAATAAATATCTAAGATCCATAAATACGAAAAACAGAAAACTTTGTCGGTGTGGATCATCCACAAACGCACAACTTGACTATCCCCTTTTGATAGATGGTTGTCAACGCTGTCGTTTTCACCAATATATCAACATCTTCCTGTTGCAGACAAGCAGCCGTGCGTCACCTGGGTGCACGACACCCAGCAGCGGCCAGCGGGGGCGCCTGGCACCCGGCGCGGCCGGCCACACCCACCGGTCTTGTGGAGGACCTGCGAGCGCAACAGGTCGCCGCTGGAGAGGTGCTTCAGCCCGAACTCGGCCACGATCCGCTCCGAGATGGTGCCCTTGCCAGAGCCGGGTGCGCCCATGATCAGCGCCCGGAACAAGCGGCGGCCGGCCATGCCTGGCCGACAGCCACACGGGCAGTGAGCACGGCGACA